TATGAAAAAAAACTGAATAAAGCTTGACAACTGGTAAAAATTGAATTCCCTGCCTCTGCACTTTGTGCAGTTTATGCCCATGATGCTTTATATTCGGTGTTCTTGCATTGTCAACTGAGCTCTTGTATGACTTAAATTTTTCAAAAAGACAACATTCCATTGTTTAGAGATAATTTAGGGGTCTAGTGCTACCAATTTCTGAATCAGAGTTGTTATCCTCCTGACATGCCTGCTGCTGTTATGAGTGGCAGTGCTAGAATTACTGCAGCTCTTCTCCCAGTTCTCAATATTTCATAGATTTGTTTTGGTCTTTGAACGCTTTAAACCTCTCTAGAACGAGTTATTTTCCTCTTCTTGAAGAGATCTCTGAATCCCCCAACCCTCCCCTCACCATCAATATTTAGTACTCCGCTGCATCACTTTGGACACGCATAAATCCACTCTTGCTCTTAAATCATTCATTAAAAAAGGGGGTCATCTTTGAATTTGAGGCTCTGTCTTATAAAGGCCAAATCAGGCACACTCTGTGGCCTGCTGTATAATTTAGAGCTGTTATGGGTTTAATGTGTCATGTCAGAGGGATTTGGACAAATAGATTGTGAGGAGCGAGCACAGAGACAGATGTATACTCGGACACAATGAGATTTAAATTGGCACCTTACGTTGCAAGGATCCACATCCAGCTGAGGTTTTGGATGGGAATGAAGCCTGAGTGGAGGAAGCAGATGTTGGGTTGTAATTGCTTTGTAGTGAGATGATGATGAAAGTGTTGCTGTGCTGTTTTCTGTTTTTTGTGTTAACCCACATTGGAAACCGTGAACGGAGGGATACTTCACAGGAAGCACGTAGAAATACGACAGATATGATATTTGTTTTAGTCTATAAACCAACATTAATTGTGTCTTTGCATTTGTTTTGGTTGCAGCACTACAGCAAGCGGTGTGGGCTTTTAGTGTTATATAGTCATCTTTTTTTGACCAGAACATAACAGCCAGCTTGCTGGATGCTTCTATACAAAGTGCTTCACGCGGTCATGTGTACATACATTTTTAACTTGTGCGTTTGACATTGGAATAGAGCTCTTTATCCTTATAGAGTTTGTGCAGTGCTCTACCCACAGATCTACATGGCCCAATTCTTCTTTTAAAGAAATGTATTAAAAGCCTCTATTTTTGTTTGTATGCACCTTTCTTGGATAAAAAATGTTGGAGCATTTGGGTCCTGCTATTAAGATATATTAATGCATATTAAATTTTTTGTTTGTATGACTTTCGGCTTTCTTTCAAACAAATTTCACAAGTGGAGATGAAATGGAGAAAACATTAAAGATGAATGCGACCTAGACAGAGCAATTTAACTACCTCAAATTGCCAGCCAGGCATTATCAACAGGTTTTTTATCAGCAGCTGCATAAAATCAGCAAAAGATCTTTACAGTTAACGGCTGTAAACAGCATCATTTTGCTGCAGCACTGTTTTAATTTCAGAAATACAGACTATTCAACATGAAATTGCTTTTCTAGAATCTTTGAACTTAGGTTGACAGATAGCTGTGGATCAGATTTTCAGGCCTTTTTCTGGGAGTATTCATTGCTACTCATCCCATAATGGAATTTCCTTCAATCAGACAGAGGAAGTGCAAGGCGGTGGGAAATGGGAAAATAACACAGTAACCAGAAAACAAAGCTGGCAGGCATAATCCTGCTTCCAAGACTCATGGAGAGACAGAGAGGCCCTCCAGACCCGAGTCTCCAGCTCTGGAGGGTATCTGTGTTATTGTGTGACACGCGCCGCTATGCCAGATGGCTAGTCCATGACGTGAACCCCACCCATACTTGTCAAAATGCCACCACACTGGCTGGTGCAGGGCATGCTAAATCCCTCTCGTGGGAGAAGCCAGTTTGAAACCATTCAGCTCCAATTACAAATCTTCAGTAGCACCCGAGGATTTGAGGCCATCCAAATATGGTGATTACGCCGCAGTTCCTGGAGGGGTGAAGCTGAGAGCTGAGCTCTTCATTGGTATGCGCTGTTTACTTACTGTCTGTGTGTCCATCTGTTGATATGGTGAACAGACGCAGCTCGATTTTTCTGTGGAGGCCACACTGAAAGCTTGGCTCGAATAACAATCATCTGACATTATCCTGCAGTTCCGTGGAAGTTTAAATAGTCAAACTAGGCTCAAGGCTGGCAGGGACTTATACAAAGGAAGCTGACAACTTAGACTTTGAGAGACTGTACTAGAGTCATTCGGGTGGGGGTGGTCAGAGAAGCAGCAGCAGGGTCATGTATTTTTTCTGCTTGCTGAATGTAGTATCTTCGATTTTTCTATGCCCCAGTTACTGAACAGTTATCAAAAATGTCGAAATAGTAATGTCAGAAACACCTTTTGTGTGCACCATTGATTATAAAAGTTTGTTCTACCTCCTACAGTGGACAAGTTATATGGATCTTTATAATTAGTAGGAATTGAACACTGTTTCTCACTTTTCTTTAGCCAGCAGTAGAGTACACCCTTCTCTATACTCTGTATTACCACAGCACAACTACAGTTTCATATAGAGTTCACCTGTAATATAAAGCTTTTTCAGCACAACTTGGTTTTGAGTTGAAAACATTATGGGGCTGAAGGCCCTCAGCAGCCACAGTGCTGCCACTTGTGTCCCATTGTTTATTTATTAACAGTGGTTATAAAGTAACTATTTAATTTAGAGCTGGAATGCTCAGTAAACAAAGCACACCATTAATGTTTAGCATCATTTTGGAAATTACAAATTCCACTCTCAATGTGTGATTTGGGCTATTTGAAATGAATCTTTCATTAACACCGGTAAAGCTTGAAATCAGGGTTGATATGAGAAATTAGGGAGGATGGTATTTAATTTTTTCCCAAGTCAAGGGAGAGGTGAAACTAAACATTAAAAAACGGAGGGAAAGTCTTTTTTTCTTCTTCTCGCCCCTCTTCCCACCACAATATTTTTTGCTTAGTCGCTTAGAAGTCTGAATCAGTGAACAGGGTTTTTTTTTAAATTTTATTTCAGACCTTTTCATTTTTGACTTTGCACTTTGAAAGTGTCTCTGTCACGGTACCAAACTGATGGCCTGTTAAATCAAAGTCACAAGTCATTTTAATGAGAGCAGAGGGGTATTTGAAGTCCGACACATTAAATCCTGTGCTGAATTTAGTTATGTTAGACCAAAGAAGCCTAACATGATGGGACTGACCAAGGACCAGCTCTCATTAAGCACTAACCACACAGACAGGCATTCTGGCTGCTCTTCGTGGATTCTTTGTCGGATAAAACGACCTGCATGGAACAAGCACAGTTTGAACACCCTCTTCATGGTCATGGTGGTGCTACACTGCTTCTATAATGCTTCTATAATTAGACATTCAGAGTCATTAGCTCAGTGTAACATCTGGTGACTCTTTGTTGGACTAAAGGTTTCTGTAAACATTAGTGAGTCTTAAATCCACTAAACCAAATTAACTTAAACTACACAGCAGTGGTGCTTTGTAAGCATTTTTGCCAGAACTGATTCAATTGAAATCACGTTTCAAATCAAATCTACATGAGTTTATCATTCTGTCTCTGGATAATACAGAAATAAATGTAACCTTATATGCATAAGTGTTTTTTTTTTTTTGTTTTTTTTTCTAGTAATTTGTGACATAAATACTTAAAGTGATTTTGCAGGTAAAATCTTGTTGCTTTCCCCCTTTACAAATTTTTGATTTGCCTATTATATTTTGAGAAAATAAAACTTTGTATTATTACCCCAATTCCCAATATGTGGGTTGAAAAAATCCTATGGAAATTCATAGGGATCAGGTGTATACAGTATTTACTATTGACTATATATATAGTGCCACTGTTGGCTGAAACTGTGTTTGAACATTAGTATTTTGAAACGGTGAAACAAAAATACTATGAAGAATATTACAGTAAACCATCTAGAAAACTCATGGAGCTAGCAATAATTAAAAACAGATATTGCAGGTGACAGACTGGGATGGAGAGATGGCGTGTAATTTGACAGAAAACAAACTTGCAATTATATAATATAATATACAATACGTTAGGCACCTCATGGTGGGGGCACTGCAGCACCCTACTGTACTTCCTTCACTTCACCCTACTTTATAACTAGCTAAAATTAGCTTGCCAATTAGCAATACTATAGTTGTGAATGCACCGTTACTGTAAGATAAGTAGCATATCTTAGAAAGATAAACTTGTTTGAGCATTAAAGACTAATGCAGCTGAAACCTGGTAAGTGGATGCAGACTGAAGCAGAATGTTGTTTTTTTTCATTCTGTTTATTCAGCTGAAAAAAAGTGTTCACAATAAATCAAGAGGATTTTGACAATGAAAGACTTACTGCCCGAGTGTCACTCCCAATACATTGCCTAAAATGATTGCATCTACCTTTTAACACAGTCATCTGATTTGAGGACTTCACGCTATTGTGCATTATTGAAATGACAATCCAGGACTTATTTTTGTCATCCTCAAAGTGTAGATATCCCAAACAAAATGCATCAAAAAATCAGGTATAATCATAATCCCTCTCACTGTGGATTTTAGAGTGTTTTTCTTTCAGGCCTGATTACCAACTGACTGTTTCAGGCCTGCTATTCTGGATGTGAATTACAGCTGTGCACTATCTCTCTGGTCTCTGTTGTTGGCTCTTGTACCACTGCGTCTTCTTGCTTCTGCTCTGCTCCGCTTATCTGTGTGACGTCTGTGTCCATGTGGGTGTTTTGCAGCTTTTTCATTGACAGACAGTGTAATGATGCCCTATGGATGAGCCCCGCTGGGTGTCTGAGCTGCCATACACCAGTCTCCTCACACTGCTACAGAATGTCAATCAGCTGCCCCTCTGCATGGCCTCTCTTCTCACCTGTCTCTACCTGTTCCCTGTGCGAGTGTGTCTGCCTCTAGACATGGCCATGTACATCTGTATGATTGTCTTTCTGTTCTGTCATTTTCGTGGCAGGTTTGGCGAAGCCCATGGGGCTGGTGGAGGGACCCGGAGGCCTTGGCCAGGGGGGAGCTGCTGCCACTCTTGGAGAGGACAGTCGCGATGCTGAGGGGAAGTATGAGGAGTATGGCTACAACGCTCAACTCAGTGACCGCATCTCCCTGGACAGGAGCATCCCTGACTACAGGCCTAAAAAGTATGTCCACCTCCTGTTTCTTCTTATTTTTTTGTCATGTACATTCTCCTTCCACCTACAGCTCTACACCTCTTTTTTCCCCGTGGCAGGGTTTTATAATGTTAGAGAGCCAGTTTAATCCCTGCAGCAGTTGATTGGTTCTATTTTCATGAAAGCACACAATGTACAGCAGGACACTTGCATTCTTCTATCTGTTGGTATTTTGGTGAATCTCCAGAACATTTTCTGTGGGAAAACTAGAAGCATAGTTGCTGTAAAAAGTGTGTCAGAAATGATCAGATGTGCTGTTATATTGTGGCGTTGAGGATTAACGGAATTCACAAGAACTTCCTACAAACTCAGATCAGGTCAAAAGTGCACTGCACAGTCATGCTTTTTAAATACTTTTGCTAATTAATGAAGTCTGCACAGATTCATTCCCACAGCTCACCAACTCTTGGACTTAATTCCCTTAAGGGGAAATATTTATTTCTAAATGCAGTAGTGGTGTGGTTGTGGTTGTAATCCTAAAAGAGCTGTCAGTATGCACTTAGTGAGACTTGTTCTGCAGATGTCAGGAATAGGTTGGTGGATGGACCTCTTAAAACTGATGCAACATAGTAACCAAATGTGCTTTCAACTTTAATTAAATTTTAATTTAAGGTGCTGTATGTTGTCAAGACTTCTGATGCAAAACATTAAATCCAGTAGCTGCTGTGGGAAGGTGATGGGATGTATGGAATGTCACATGGATCAAAAACTGCCTCATGCTGGTTTCCATATTGAACTTGAAAATGCAAATGTCACCCTTGTAAATGTAATGTCTGCCAGCGGGGGACATTCCTGTACACCTAGTTCTTTATGACACTCATTTTGCACTGGCTGCTCTCAGTTTCCCAGTGGCACATGGCAAGTAGTAAACTTGCTGAAACCCCAAAGGACTCGAGTCAGAGAGCAGTGCACTGTAGCACTGTGAATACGTTTATTTTATGCCAAAAACGCATTTTGAATTAGTACATTTCTGTCATGTTCTGTCATTCATTTTACAGTGGTCGGCGTAATGTTGTTAACATCAGCATTTTCACTGTCTGGTGACTTTGGAGAAATTGTTTGTGACCACACTGGTGTTCAGTAGAGCAGCTTTTGTGCGCGAGCATTCCTGATGAAATGTGCATCCATGTGAGATATGCAAAATTGTCAACATTCCCTCCACTTCTCAGATATTGATACGCCTCTGTGCCTCCTGCAGGTAGTGAGTCATGTGACCAGTAAGGATAGCAAGTTAGCACCACTGCTGGCAAGCTAATCTGCTAGCATATATGAAATGTCAAATGCTTTAAATGCTACAGGGATATATTACAGGAATTAATTTGATTGTTGTCTTTTTACTACAATCACATTGAGCTGCCCTCTTCATTATCTAATATGTCTCCAGTCACTCAGAACAGAGACGATTCTGGGACTGTAGCTGTAAAATGTTTAATACTGAAGGATCCTGAAATGTGATTTTCAAAATGATGATTATTTTTTTTATGTGTAACCCTGATTTTTGGTACAATCAACAGTTTCTCTTTGAATAGTCTTCTTTAATCAACACCAACATGGCAAAACAGTACACACCCAACCTCTCTCTGTCTGGGGCCACAGCAGACTCCACTCTACTGTTTCACACGTTACTGTCCAACTTCACCAACTTAGACTCACAACTGTTTCACCCGTGAAACAATGGCAGGAAATAAAATTACTCTTCGACAAAGGGACATGACTAAGCAACTTATATGTTACACATATAAATAGAAATAATAGTTAATTATTGTCTTCTGTAATACAACTCAGTTCCGCAGAAGTCAAAATGATAGTTTAATTAGTCTTACTGAAATGTATAACTTACCGCACTCTAGTGTGTAGTTTAATAAGCAACATAAGTCAGTAGGGAAACTTAAGTAATTAAAATAATGCAAAATGTATTAACAGTAACTAAGGTCACACATGTGAAATGAGGTAGGTTGGCCTGCTACAAGTCATTATTAGTTCATTAATTGATTACATTTATTCTCACTGGGAAGGTACTGCTGCATTCAAATAGAGGTGAAAGAAGAAAGACACATGGCAGGTTCATTGAGAAGCCTTACCGTGTTTTTCCCTTTGCTGTGGAGAGTTTTACTGTTTTTTCAAGGACAGCTGTGTTATGGGTTTCACCACTTACAACATTCTTAAAACACAACTAGACAAGCTACCAAGGCTACCAAAAAGTGGCACACTCTCTGCTTCGCTGTCTGTGCCTGTCACATGACTCTCGCCTCGCAGGTTGTGATGGTCCCTCGAGAGTCTCCCTCTTTACTTCCTTGATACTTGCTTGATACTTTTCATCTTCTTCATCTGTCTTATTGTCTAACTCCACTTAATCCTTCCTCCTCTCTTCTGTCAACGGCCAAGAGAGGTTTCTGAGGGCTTTAGCGGGGATAACAATTCATTTCATCCAATCTGCTTTGTTCCGAGCTCTTTTTCACGCCCAGAAAAATTAGACAAGAGTGGAACGGGGAGGAGGAGGGCAGCTAAAAAGGAGCATGCTAATTAATGAAATAGGCTGAGAGTGCCTCTGGAATGGAAGGGTTTTAGGAAACTCCTTTTTTTTTCAATCGACACATTCAACAAAAAATGTGATGCAAGACAAAACGGAAGTGAGTGTTGGCGTTTTACTGAAGTGGTTCTTTCTGGTCTTAAAGGCCCTGTGTCTCTGGGTATTATTTGTCAAATTCTGATAAATACAATGTTTTGTGCTCATATAAACAGGCACACATCTCCAAATGCAAACAAAACATGTCAAACAAGGTAAAGCATGAATCTCCGACAGATACCTAGTAGGTACACCATATGATAAAGACTTGGTACATTTGTTGTGAAGCTCAGTGGAAATAAATACAATGCAAAGAGTGTAGTTTTGTTTGCTTGCTTCTGTATACGCCATTGAAGCAACACTTTTAAGAACAGAAGAACATCAAAGCACTGCTCTTAGGAAGTGAAAGGATTGTTCAAAGACAGAAAATGGATATGTTTACAGCCAGCACAATACTGTAACTGCCAGCACTGCTGTGGCACTAGTCAGGACTTCTAGGGTGCTTTCACAGCTCACCTGTTTGGTTTGGTTTACACAAACTCTGCTGTGTTCGCCCAGTGGGCTTCTCTGAAAGCTGTCTGTCATACTCTTGCGTTGACTAAGCAACCGGACCAAGCACAGCTGAAAAGATGTTTCTGCTTCCAAGTGGTGCAGGGCTCAAAACTCCGCAGTAGTATGGACACCAGGTGTAAACGTAGCACAAGTGATGCATTTCTAAAACTAAAACGTATTGGTGTGGGTGATCAGCTGATTACAACTCATGGATTGTCTGTAAAAAGCCGAACCTGACCAGAACTTAAAGATAACAATGTATTCTTTTTTTCTTCAGTCAGGACCAAATGAACTGAAAGCACCATGCCAGAAGCATCACTCACACAGATTTGTTCTTAAGTGAAACTTTGTGGCATTCACCAATTTTTTTTGTTACTTAAAATTTTCTCTTAGGTGGAACAAAATTCTCGAGTGTCCAGACATGTCGTACAATTCATGGACAGACGTGTGACTGTCTCTACAGGGGAGCAAACACTCGTATGACTTAAGAATTATTATACCTTGGTTTGAATTGATTCGTTTAAATATGGTATCAAAATGAACTGAAATTAAATATATAAGTAAGACAAACTAATTACAAAATAATATTCAACGTATCATCTCCCCCACCATCTGTTTTTATTGGCATTTTTTATCACAGAAACGTATACATTTCTGTAGATAGCAAAGCTCTCTCACTCCATCAACTGCCTTAGGATTTTTCTGCAAGTCTTTGTATGATTATTTTGTTGCACCTGATAGTGCAACATCCCATTCTGTAGGATATAATGTTCTCTGCCCCCCCCCCCCCCGCCCGCCCCCCCTCCGCTGTCCTTTTTTTTTTTTTTACTCTTATAATATTTTTGTGAATGTAATTTGTTCGTAAACAGAGTAGCCTAAATCTATGGGGTGTTGTTATGCTAATGATGAAATCCCATAAATGTGCTTCTCCTCATGAACAGGTGCATTCATCCGACTGAAACACTCATTTATAACTGGCCAGTTAAAAGAGTTTGGTAAATCTGATTGGGACACTCATACCTCACAGAAAAAAGTCAGAGAGGTTGAGGATATGAAAATGTTCTTGCGCACATCTACCTGCTGCAGTCAGCTGCAGTTCCCAGCCTCATACAATATGAAAGACGATCACATATTTCTGATTCTGTAATTATGTCCTGTGGGCGAAAGGTGACTGCAGCACCGCTGAAGTGAAGTTAAATGCAAAAACCAGACACTTTCTGTCCAATGGGCTTTTAATTGAACAGGAGTCATTGAGCAGAGAGGACTCTGATGACTATAGGGAAGCGTAAGTCCATTGCCATGACTGAGTGATCTGCACATTCACAAGTCTCCCCCTTTCAGACCTGCCTGTCTGCAGCAAAACCAACTCATAATAATTATAGCCACAATTGGCTCCCACACAAAAATCTGTAATCCCCATTCACTGCCAGCTGGTCTGTAGTTCTCTCCTCTGCCCTTCACTTCTGCAAGTGATATTCTTAACTGAGATACCAAGGGACTTAAGCAGGCCTTACAATACAGTGACTCTGAGCCTGCCCTCACTGTCCTTGGGAGGTTTAGGTACGATAACAGTTCATTGTGCTGTGGAGAGAGAAAAACAACAAAGGCAAACAAGATGGTGAAATCACAACGTCCATGACACAAACAAAATGGTTTTAAATGTAACTTGTGTCACTCATAAATGAAAAGAAAATCCAATTCAAGGCATCAAACCTGCTTTTCACCCTCCAGCTCCCCTCCTGCAGACGACTCTTATTCAGTTATTTCTAATCTCACCTCAATCTCTATTGTCACTTTGCAAAGGATTTGATTTATATTTTGTCAAAATAGTTGTTAAACCCAAAACTATATT